GTTCAATTTCACGTTTAAATTCTCTTCAAGCATGGTGGAGGTCATTAGTTTCCACTGTTTCTACTTCATTTAGCTTCTGAGTTATTTACACAGTGTGGTAATTTCCTGAATCAGTTGTGGGGTCAAAAACTCAATTGCAAGCCCCATGTTACTAGATATATTTACTATTATCAAATGTTTGAAAGCACGTAGGGTCATCATTGTGAAAATATGTATACATTTGTAAAAGTTTGTCTCAAACCGTCAGTAGTTCTTCATTTCCACCTCATTTGTCCTTTTTAATTGGATAAGGCTAAGGATACACACTTCATTTACAGAGTTTCTTTTACAAATTTCATTGAAATTCCATCCCTATAAATAGTTATGAATAACAACAATAATATAACAGTGTGGAGCAATCCAACACAAAGATTAACTGGAAAAATTGAAAGAAATTGTAAATTACAGTATTTTTAACTTTGTAGGCTGATATTACAGAACAGTTCAGTCAGTGATCATAAATCTGGTAGATATATGAAATACATGTATTAACTTACCTGTTTGTATGGGCGTTCAGGTGAAGATGGCCATTCTTCTTTTTCTTCTTCTTTGAAGTTATTTCTATATCAGTGCCTGTACTATGACAACTGTACATGAAGGAAACATTGTACTATATGATAAAGGTATTCTAAAACCTTTGGTTATAAACTCAGAGGTCGACTTTTTCTTACACTATTAATTAATTCCAACAACCTTCAACTATACCAGTTAGACACTGACACTGGGGATGGGATTTTTGACATGACAGTAACTGTGCAAGAATTTACAACACATTCAAGAGCGGTTCCCGTAGGGTCATCAGTATGGTTTAGGTGTCTCATCTATATAAAGGATTTTAATTAGCAACTAAAATTTAGTGTATATGTGTAATTCTTTTACATCACTTTAACACTTTGTTAATATACCTATGAAACAAATAGTTAAGAGCGTTTTGCTACATGACATCAAGGCTGCTGCTTTCGAATTGTACACCATGAGCTTGAGCATATAGTGAAGGGCTAGATGAATATATTACATGATAGCTATCGGCATGTTGATACCGCTGACCTTACGCTGTACATTTTGGGTGTGAGACCGCCTCCGTGGTGTAGTGGTTAGAGCGTCCGCCTGGAGTGAGGAAGGTCGCGGGTTCGATCCCCGACCGCGTGATACCAAAAGACGTTAAAATATGGTACTTGTTGGTCCCTGCCTGGCGCTCAGCATTAATGGGTACATCAAGGACTGGTCGGCTCGGAGTCAGTATAATGTGTCTGAGTGGGGTATTCATGCTTCACTGCAGCATGGCATTTCTGGTGTCCCCCTCCGTGATGTTGCTGGAATATTGCTAAAAGCGGCGTAAAACCAGGTTTCTGTCATTCTGCCCAGCTCCCATTGGGAATATTACCTTGATGTCATACCTTTCTGCCTCCATCAGGAATATTATGTTTATGTCACACTGCCCAGCTCCCATTGGGAATATTACGTTGATGTCATACCTTTCTGCCTCCATCAGGAATATTATGTTCATGTCATACTGTCCAGCTCCCATTGGGAATATTACCTATATGTCATACTTTCCTGCCTCCATCAGGAATATTATGTTTATGTCATACTGTCCAGCTCCCATTGGGAATACATGTATTACCTTGATGTCATTCTTTCCTGCCTCCATCAGGAATATTATGTTCATGTCATACTGCCGAGCGCCCATTGGGAATATTACCTATATGTCATACTTTCCTGCCTCCATCAGGAATATTATGTTCATGTCATACTGTCCAGCTCCCATTGGGAATATTACCTATATGTCATACTTTCCTGCCTCCATCAGGAATATTATGTTTATGTCATACTGTCCAGCTCCCATTGGGAATACATGTATTACCTTGATGTCATACTTTCCTGCCTCCATCAGGAATATTATGTTTATGCCATACTGCCGAACTTCCATAGGGAATATTACATGGAAGTCATACTGTCCAGCTTTCATTTGTATTATTTCATTGATGCCGTTCCTTCCTGCCTCCATCAGTAATATAAATGTTTCTGTCATACTTACAAACTTCTATTGGGAATATTACATTGATCATATTCGGTAATGTTACGCTTGCGTCATACTTTCCTTCCTCCATCGAAATACTGCATTTATGTCACACTGTCCAGCTTCTGTCAGACATGTAACACTCAAGTAATACTCTACAGCATATATTTTGGCAGTATTACGTCGTTATACTGTACAGCTCCATCGTTATTATTACGTTTATGTCATACTTTCCTGCTTCCATAAAATATACCCACGTTTATGTCATACTGTACAGCTTCCATAAAATATACCACGTTTATGTCATACTGTACAGCTTCCATAAAATATACCATGTTTATGTACGTTTATGTTATACTGTACAGCTTCCATAAAATATACCACGTTTATGTCATACTGAACAGCTTCCATAAAATATACCACATTTATGTCATACTGTACAGCTTCCATAAAATATACCACGTTTATGTCATACTTTCCTGCTTCCATAAAATATACCACGTTGATGTCATACTGTACAGCTTCCATAAAATATACCACGTTTATGTCATACTTTCCTGCTTCCATAAAATATACCACGTTTATGTCATACTTTCCTGCTTCCATAAAATATACCACATTTATGTCATACTGTCCTGCTTCTATAAAATATACCACGTTTATGTCATACTTTCCTGCTTCCATAAAATATACCACGTTTATGTCATACTGTACAGTTTTTATCGGTTATGTTAGTTTGGTACCATACTGTCCAGTGGGATTCCCGTTTATATGGCTGAAGTGAAATGGACTAAGTTTGCACTTGCCAATACGGCACCGATACCCACCCACCCTGTCTATATCGATCTGAGTGATTTCTATCACTTGTTATATACCTCTAACGTCCCCACTATTCTCTCACATTTCAGACTGAGTTATGTATATAACATAGCCGGCATGAACCTCTCCCGCCATTCATCCTGTGTGTTTAGTTACATATCTGATATACCTTCACGCCTTTCATTCTGTGTGGTGTTAGTTATATATCTGATATACCCTTCCCGTCATTCATTCTGTGTGGTGTTAGTTATATATCCGATATACCTTCACGCCTTTCATGCTGTATGGTGTTAGTTATATATCTGATATACCTTCACGCCTTTCATTCTGTGTGGTGTTAGTTATATATCTGATATACCTTCACGCCTTTCATTCTGTATGGTGTTAGTTACATATCTGATATACCTTCACGCCTTTCATTCTGTGTGGTGTTAGTTATATATCTGATATACCCTTCCCGTCATTCATTCTGTGTGGTGTTAGTTATATATCCGATATACCTTCACGCCTTTCATTCTGTATGGTGTTAGTTATATATCTGATATACCTTCACGCCTTTCATTCTGTGTGGTGTTAGTTACATATCTGATATACCTTCACGCCTTTCATTCTGTGTGGTGTTAGTTATATATCTGATATACCTTCATGCCTTTCATTCTGTGTGGTGTTAGTTATATATCTGATATACCCTTCCCGTCATTCATTCTGTGTGGTGTTAGTTATATATCCGATATACCTTCACGCCTTTCATTCTGTATGGTGTTAGTTATATATCTGATATACCTTCACGCCTTTCATTCTGTGTGGTGTTAGTTATATATCTGATATACCTTCACGCCTTTCATTCTGTATGGTGTTAGTTACATATCTGATATACCTTCACGCCTTTCATTCTGTGTGGTGTTAGTTATATATCCGATATACCTTCATGCCTTTCATTCTGTGTGGTGTTAGTTATATATCCGATATACCTTCACGCCTTTCATTCTGTGTGGTGTTAGTTATATATCCGATATACCTTCATGCCTTTCATTCTGTGTGGTGTTAGTTATATATCTGATATACCTTCACGCCTTTCATTCTGTGTGGTGTTAGTTATATATCTGATATACCCTTCCCGTCATTCATTCTGTATGGTGTTAGTTATATATCTGATATATCCTCACGCCTTTCATTCTGTGTGGTGTTAGTTATATATCTGATATACCTTCAATGCCTTTCATTCTGTGTGGTGTTAGTTATATATCTGATATACCTTCACGCCTTTCATTCTGTGTGGTGTTAGTTATATATCCGATATACCTTCATGCCTTTCATTCTGTGTGGTGTTAGTTATATATCCGATATACCTTCATGCCTTTCATTCTGTGTGGTGTTAGTTATATATCCGATATACCTTCATGCCTTTCATTCTGTGTGGTGTTAGTTATATATCTGATATACCTTCACGCCTTTCATTCTGTGTGGTGTTAGTTATATATCCCCCAGGAATATTGCTGACTACAAGAACGTGCTTCACCTGCTCCTTCCTGTATGTTAGTGTCAAATTTGCTGTGTATTTGCAAATGAGTTTATTGCATATATTGCGATTCATGTAGTCGTATTGTGATATACATGTATTGGGGTTAACGTCTTTGTCCGTGAGTGACGCTCATCATACAACCAGATCCTATTTTCTACACATCGAGGCCCTGAAAACATTTGTAATCATTCTGATAATCTTTTTTCCTTTAATGCATGTAACGACTGCTGTTTTGTCATAATTACAAAGGGAACTGTCGGTTGTAAATAGAAGTTGAGTAGGTTTTAACTTAAACCATAGATGTAATCCCAAAACGTGTTGAAACTGGTGATCCTGTTCAATAAACTGGCAATACTGTGCAGTCATACAAATGCTTGTTTGTTGTTTAACGCCACACTCAGCAATATTCCAGCTATATGGCAGTGGTCTGTAAATAATCCAGTCTGGACCAGACAGTCCATTGATCAACAACATGAGTATTGATCTACACAGTTAGGACATGATGACATGTGTCAACCAAGTCAGCGAGTCTGACCACCCGATCCCTTCAGTAGGCTCTTGCGACAAGCATGTCCTATTGAATGTGTTCTTTTCTTCCAGGTGGAGAACCTGCCATGTCCACTAGATCGGCGGCCAAAACTGCCGCAGGGGGGACACTAACAGACCCACATGGGATGGAGACTGACTCCCCTGCACCCTCACCACCAACATCTCCCAGTGCTCAAGTGACGCGGCAGTCAAGACGTGCTACATTTGAATGTGAAGTCTGTGGTAAGAAGTTAATGACAAAGCAGATAAAGAAGAAGCACAGCTTAATACACTCAGGGGAGAAACCACATGGGTGTGAGCTGTGTGGGCGACACTTCCGGCAAGCTTCTGAGCTGCAGCGACACAAGACCAGGCATAGTGAGGAGGATGGAATATGCTGCTTTGTCTGCAGCTTGAAGCTGGACAGCTGTACGGAGCTGGTTGATCACATGAAAAAACACTCTATCAACTTCAAGTCTAAGGTGTCCAGTGCTGGCTACTCATTCCGCTCGTCCTCTGTGGTGAAGAGCTATCGGGACCTGTTCCGCTCTGGCAATCCACAACCTTGTTATGTCTGCTTCAGAGATTTCCCAGGAAGTGAAGAGCTTCTTGAGCACCTGGGACAGCACACTGCTGTGGAGCTTTTGAAAGGTAGCAGTGACAGAGATCTGTGGAAGAGTTCCTCATTCTATGCTGAACTCCAGTATGAGAAGTGGAGAAGAAGAAGCTCCTTACAGATTCTAAAACGCTCAGGAGGAAGTGTAAGTAGAGACAAAACTGAAGCTATATCTGTTGACCCTGTTGTCTCTCATCTGGAGGTTGATGCAGACACAGAGGTCAACATGCAGATCACAGAAACACATGTAGAGGTACCCTTGACAGACACTGAACCAGTCACAGAGCATCACATGTCGGATGAGTCTGATGGAGAACTAGACCCCACTCCATCTGGGAAGATACACAAGGGAAAAAAGCCGCTCCTGTGTCCGGTGTGCGGGAGGAAATATGTTCGACCTGCGGACCTGAAGCAGCACCTGATCCGCCACGTGGCCGACCTGTACAAACAAGGCAACTCTACAAACCCCAATTCCAGGTTCAAGTGCGACATTTGCACTGCTGTATTTCAGTGCGAGAAGGACCTTCAGTTCCATGGTGTTTTTCACGGAGTGTACCGACCTAACGCCAGTACCTATGCTGATGGTCAGTCCACCGTGTGCCCTATCTGTGGGAAGAGGCTGCAGAAAGCCACCAGCCTTCCCTCTCACATTGAGCTTCACAACCAAGACAGGACGTCGAAGTGTGGTGTATGTGGACGTACGTTCAAGTCTGAGAGGAACCGGAATCTTCATCAGAAGATCCACACAGGAGTGAAAGAGTTTGTGTGTAAAGTGTGTGGAAAGGGTCTGTCACGAAAACCTGAGTACGAAGCACATTTGAAGCGACATAACACTGACCCAACCTTCAATGGTAAAGCTGGCCGCAAGAAGGGCTCTAAGGTCATTAATGATAAGGTCATATACTCAAAGAAAGGCTATGGATCACCAGAAGACAAGGTGGCCATGGCCAGGAAACCAAAGAGTCGTGTTCTTCGGAGGGATCAAAAGGAGAAGACCATCATCCCACACAAAAACAAGAAGAGGAAGATGGGCATGGTAGATGGTGATGACACCACAGAGCCTTCCTCCAATGGAGGCCAGGTGGTGCTTCAGAGTGTTGAGACACAGACAGAGGTTCTGACATCGGAACAATCCTCTCTGGCTCATAACAATGACATTATCACTTCTGAACTGACAGATCCTAATTTGACTGCAGCTGAAGTGACCAGTGTTGATGGTGTGTCTGCAGCTGAGGATGAAGCACATTTGAAGCGACATAACACTGACCCAACCTTCAATGGTAAAGCTGGCCACAAGAGGGGCTCTAAGGTCATCAATGATAAGGTCATATACTCAAAGAAAGGCTATGGATCACCAGAAGACAAGGTGGCCATGGCCAGGAAACCAAAGAGTCGTGTTCTTCGGAGGGATCAAAAGGAAAAGACCATCATCCCACTCAAAAAAAAGAAGAGGAAGATGGGCATGGTAGATGGTGATGACACCACAGAGCCTTCCTCCAATGGAGACCAGGTGGTGCTTCAGAGTGTTGAGACACAGACAGAGGTTCTGACATCGGAACAATCCTCTCTGGCTCATAACAATGACATTATCACTTCTGAACAGACAGATCTTAATTTGACTGCAGCCGAAGTGACAAGTGTTGATGGTGTGTCTGCAGCTGAGGATGAAGCAATCATCATCACTGTTCAGGACCCCACGACGGGGGAGAATGAGGAATGGACTGTTTCGGTCCAACAGAGGTGAAGATAGGTGGGCGCGGTGAGAAACGCTGGGCAATAATATTCAAGTGCATGAGTTTTCGAGCTGTGTACCTTGATCTATTGGACAGTTTCTTAATGGCTTTCCGACGATTCATTTCCCACAGAGCGGAACCATTCGAAGTTGTGTTTGACTGTGGGACCAACTTCAAAGGTGGTGAGGCAGAATTGAGAGTCATTTGAACCTTTGAGTCCTGAAATAACCAAGCAGCTTGCCAGGCACCAGATGAATTTCCGATTCAACCCACCACACTTTGGAGAAGTATGCGAGCGTGAAGTCAGGTGTGTTGCCATGGGAGAACAATTAGTTTCTCAACCAGTGCTGAGAACAGTACCGAGAACAGTACTAATGGAAGTAGGATGGATCGTCAACTCCAAACCCCTTGTTTACGTCTCTACAGACGTGCTGGACTGAACCAATAACCCCAAACATCCTGTTGATGGGTAGACATGATCCTTCACTGCCGCAAGATGTCTACCCATCAGACGAAATACTCAGCCGATGGAGATGGCGCCACAGCCAGCTCCTCGCAGACCACTTCTAGAAGCACTTCATGAAGTACTACCTGTGAACTCTTCAGTCACGCCAGAAGCTGCAGAAAGACAGGAAGAAGCTGAGCAACGTTGAGGTCGTAATGATCATTGAACCCCAACCAAGATCAACACTGGAGAGGACCTGTGCCTGCGGTCAGCTGTTGTCCAGGTTGGAGACCGCCAGTACCTGCGGCTGCTGTCTAAGTTGATCAGACTGCCACAGATGGTGGACTAAAGTACTGTCAGAAATAAAATGAAAATGTTGTTTTTTCAAATTTATATCTACAATTTTATGACGTTTATATGTGAAAGTGTGAAATATCTGTTAAACTAAATTTGGACTAACTACAGTCTCAGTGGTAGGGAGATAAGATACGTACAAAATGGACTTTACTGAGGAGAGATTAGTGCAGAAATGAACAATGCGTTTTATTTTTCTTAGTCTAAAACGACTTATTTAGAACAGACCATGGCTTTATGCAAACTAGTGTGCGATGATATTTTATTTCAAAGGACACTTTTAAAATGCTTATTTTGAAACTAGACTTAGCTTCATTATAAACGATAGCTGACGTACAAAATACTAACTTTAATGCAGAAACTACTAAGGATGTAGCTACCATGGAGCCTCACTTTCACCATAAAAGGAAACAAGTAGGAGGGGTCGTCTCAAAAGCAAAACCAGTACGAGTGTCACCGACGGTGGTTGGGATCGTACTGGGGGATAGAGATAACAGCTGAGATAAGATAATCCTTTAGGGAATTAAACTGGGGGTGTTCTGAAGGCATTTTGGTTTTATCATTTAAAACTGCTTGCTCAATCACACCCAGTGCAAACTGGTCGTAAGTGAGTGAGTTCAGTTTTACGCCGCTTTTAACAATATTCCAGCTATATCACGGTGGGGGACACCAGAAATGGGCTTCACACATTGTACCCATGTGGGGAATCGAACCCAGGTCTTCGGCTTGACGAGCGAACGCTTTAACCACTAGGCTAACACACACACACACACACACACACACACACACACACACCACCACCACCACGGGGGAGGGTGGGGGGATGAGTGCACGTGAAATACGAAGTAGATTTATGTATAAGACGGTGGTCGACGATACACCGGCCAATTCGCCTGTCTCCCATTCGAGCTTATTTCATTCGTGCTTGTTCGTTCTATTCGTCCCATTCAGTTTTAGGCATCGTTAGACTGTTAGATTGTTGTACTTGTTGTTAGAATATTGTAGTGTTTAGAGGTTTGACAATTAGCAGTATTTAGAGGTTTCATTCAAAGTTCATTTTCTTCATTTCTTCACTTTTAGAGAATCACGTTTAGTTGCTTGTAAATCATCCATAGTTTCCTCACTGATAATAGTTGTCACGGTTAGTTCCTTGTTTAGGCCAAAGGTAAGTTCAAAATTTTAGTTGATTAGGTTTTCAGTTACTTTGCATAGCTCTGCACAATCGTTTATTTCCACTGCACAACATTTGGTAGCAGAGCGTGGTTTCTCTGGTGAGAATATTCAGTTAGTTGTATTAGCATTTAGTTCAGTTAGATTAGTTTAAGACATAGAAATAGTTACTGTGAAATAACTATTCACTATGTCAGAGATATTCATGCTTCACTGCGGCATGGTATCTCAGTGGGCTAGCTCTATAAAACCAGCTTAAGTCTGGGCTAGTACAAGCAGCCGCACATACACGCATTCACGTCGTCATATGAGCGAAATATTCTCAAGCATGACGTAAAACCCAATTTCACCTCACCTCACTATGTCAGAGTCCAAGCCAACTTCTAAGTCAATGGTAGAGGTCGCTCCTGGCGAGATAGAACTGAGATAAGCCAAACTTAAAGGTCACATGCAACGTAAAACACAACTTTGCAGATTCTGATACCTTTCGGTATGGACATACCGAAACAAATCGTCAAAAATGCAAATTCAACTTATAAAGTTGAAAAATAACGCGATGAAAAAAACGCGCGAAATCGGAGTTCAAACGTTTCACTAATTTTCCCCAGACTTTTCTGGGGAAAACGGGTTTCAACAGCTGGGCCGCGCTCATAGCACGTGCGCAAGTAAATAGGTTCGCGCAGCTTGGAAGCGGGTTGTCGGGTGAATACTCGGTGAAGGCTTTGGTGTGAACTATTTTTCTTATGTTTTGTTGATATCTCACAGGCGCGAGCTTTTTATATGTTATGACAGTAAATTAACTGTTTATATAATTTCATTTGTCTATTTCACCACACGTTCTTCTTACCGAGACACTTTCTCAGTTCGATACTTAAAAGCAATGCCATTATTTAGCGTTGACACAATTTCTAACTGTGATATAGATATGTCGTTGTCACAGACAAAACTCAATGTCTTGTTTTATTGACACCTGTGTGTCTGCCTGCCTGTCTGCTAATGACAATATTCAAAACACAACTGCTATCACTGACCACATGCAATTTGAACTTAACACCAATCAGGCTATACACCATAAACAAAATGCATTGATTTATGGCCCGAGTTCGGTCTCTGTCTGGGTGGAGACTGGGTTCGGTATCCCGGCTGCTTCGTTTCGAGGGAGGTAAACCCAAGTACAAAATATTGCACTTTTGATTTGCGATTATACGCTTATAATTTTGTTTATTTGATTTTTCATAATCAGCAATGCATATTATATGTCATGAAGAAGTGATAATTGTGTTTTAATTATGTTTGATTTTTTGGTTGCATGTGACCTTTAAGCTTCAAAAGACTGCGTCAAAGTCTGTTTTAACTAGAGCAAAGAACAAATTGTTGAATTTAGTTGAAATTCAAACTCCAGATCGTAAAACAATCAGGAGTGTCATAGTTCCCTGCAGAGCAAGGCTATAGGCATCATAGTTGAGTTGTTAGAGGCTTACAGCTTGATTGGTGACTCTGACAAAGTCTAGAACACTAGTAAGGAAGTTGCAACAGTTGAAGATGAGATTCAACTGGCCCTTGATAATGCTGAAGGGTTTCTTAGAACCAATGCACCTGCTAGTTCAAAGGCATCGAGCATTAAGTCTGGAATATCAAGGTTATTTCATTCTGACGCAAGTCATTCGCATGAGAACTGTAAAGGTTCACAGCATGGTTCAGGCGTTAGTCAAGGTGGCAAACCTGCTTCACCCAACATAGGTTGTGTACCACAAAAGTCAAATATGGTTGATAAGCTTCCACTTAACACCAAAGGGTATTCCTCTTTAGGTAAGTCATCAAGGCAACACAATTTAGGTGAAGATATGTGGAAACAATTGAAGCGAGTATCCATTCCAGTATTTTATGGTGACACTAGAGAATATGAAGGCTGGAAAGCTGCTTTCATGGCATGTGTTGATAAAGCTCCTGCCACTAATGAGTATAAGCTTCTGCAGCTTAAACAGTTTCTTTCTGGTGAAGCAGCACAACTTGTAGCTAAGTTAGGTCACAGTGCCTCAGTCTATGATGTGGCCTTAGAAAGATTGGATAGAAAGTATGGCGGCAAACGACGTCAGATAGCACTGAAACTGGAAGAAATATATAATTTCAGGCCAATAGACCAGGGAGTGCTAAAGAATTGGACAATTTCGCTGGCATGCTTGATGTAGAGTGGTCAGTTTGAGGGAGCTGGGGTGTGGGTGTTTGTCTTCACTACTGGTTCAAAAAATGAATGAGGCTATGATAACGCAGTTTCACAGGTGGATTTTTGAGCACCAAAGGCAAGAGTCGGTTGAGACATTTAGGGAATGGGTTCTGCAAGAGGCAGAGTTGCAGACAATAGCTTCAGAGGTAAAACATGGAATAGTTAACAGATCAAAGACAACAGATAAAAAAAGATAATTATGAGAAAGGAACATTCACAAGCACACATAACAGCTAAGGCATGGCAATGTCATGTTTGTCATGGAACAGATCATGACACTTTGGGCTGTGCACAGTTCATATTTCTTGGTCTACCTGAACCGTGGGATAAGGCAAAACAGTTAGGTTTATGCTTTCGCTGCCTTGACATCGGTCATCTGGGTAAATCATGCAGTAGAATTGTGAAATGTGGGCTTGATGGCTGTAAGGCAAATCATAACAGGTTACTTCATGACAACAGTAAAGTGGCCAGGAACGACAAGGCTGACGTTGGTACTTAAAAGGTTAATAATATAACCACAAGAAAGTCTCACGAAAGTAGATCAGAGACCACCACTTTGTCGACTTCTAAAGAGGAAGCACAGTATCTTGCTCTTAGGACAATTCCTGTCGTTCTTAAGAATGGTAATCACAGAATGACTGTGAACGCATTGCTCGATGACGCTAGTAGGCATACATCAACCAGGATGTAGCATATGAACTTGGTGTGCATGGTAATACACTACAAGTGTCGGTTAATGTCCTGAATAATAAACAGGAGACCTTTGACAGTATGCTAATTGATGTTGGCATAGAGAGTATGGATGGTTCAGTAGACATGACCATTACAGCTTAGACAACTACCAAAGTAACAGGCAGAATGGAAGTTATTGATTGGGGTAAACATGTCAAGCAATGGCCAAATTTGAGGAATATTCAATTCCCAGAGGTAAGTTCTCGGGCCATAGTTGACATCCTAATAGGTATGGACTATTTAGAGCTGCATTCTTCTCTCAAAGAAATCTCTCGTCCACAACGGGACAGGAGTCAAACGACCATGTCACAAGCTCAATAACGGGTATGTCCACCATCGGCATTGAGAACAGCAGTGCATCGACAACGCATAGAGCCTATCAAACGTGCAATGAAGGCTTGTGGGATGTCACGCCAGATTCTCTCAAGTTCTGTTGCAAGGTCAAGGACGTTATCTGGCGGATGAGGAAGACGGCGTAGACGTCGATCCATCTCGTCCCAAACATGCTCTATCGGGGAGAGATCCGGTGAATTTGCAGGCCAAGGCAGTAAGTCAACGTTGTGGTGTTGCAAGAAATCCATAGCAACCCTTGCCGTATGGGGGCGGACATTGTTGGAATGTTAACCCAGGGCCATGACGTTGCAGAAAAGGAATTGCCACAGGTCGAAGAATCTGATCCATGTAGCCCACACCAGTTAAGTTGCCCTGAACAATCACCAAAGGAGTTCTTTGGCGTGCTGTTATTCAACCCCAAATCATCACGGAACCACCACCAAAGCGATTCCTC